AAATATATGAAACAATGTCCCTGGCACATGGTAAACCCTTGGTAAATGTTAATTATCGCTGTGGATTATGTATTGCTTGGAGGTGTGAACAGGAGCTTTGTAGTTATTCTGACTTCTGGATTCCCTATTCAGTAATTGTGTAAACTTGGGCAAGTGAGTCAACCTTCCAGCTGTGGCTTGTGGGGTCATTATACCTACCTACTAGGGCTGTTGTGAGGGCTCAGTGAGATAAAGTATGGGAAAGTACCTGGTATAGTGTCTAACCTATTACATAGTAACTCTTTAATACCTAATAGATTATTACTAATGTAAATATACTGATTTGTTCAAGTTCAGATTTTTATTCCTTAGTAGCACAGCCAGGGCTGACGATGTAGCTCAGTGGTAGAGATTTTGTATCTCCAGCACTGCAAGAAAAAAAGCAGCAGAACCAGACTGTTCTAGAGAGAGGTACTTTAGGCCCTTTTCTACCAACTGCTGAGACCTTGGGCAAGTCAATAGGCCCAGTGAGTTTTCTATAAAGTGAAATGAGTTGAAGTAGATGCTCTCAGGCTCCTTCCATCTCCAATATTTTGTGTAATTCACAGGTATGCAGTATGTGTTCATTAAATGCTGAATTAATTTGCATATTCTCATCCAGCCTATATAAGGAAAAAGAGGTCAGCCATCTTTTTGTTATAGGATAGGGTTGTCTTTTGGCAGGAAGCAGAGTGAAGAGGAACAAGGCTAAAGGAACAGAGGAACATTGTACTGAGGGCTCAGGCAGGAAAAAAAATAATGAAACATAAAAGCCAGAACCTTGAGGAAAAGCTGCTTCAACAGGAACCCTGTCCTGGAGACCTGGCTCTTGTGGCAAACTCAAGTACCTGCAAATTTCTTGATCCACATTTCCTGCATCTCATTTCACTTATGAATTTTTATTTAACATGAAACAACAATATAAACATTTATATATTGTTTCAATGATTTAAATACAAACACAGCCAATCATCAGGAAGAGGGAAATTAAAACATGTCATGGCCTTTTCTCTAGGGGTGACACTCTAGTATACAATTGAAAAAAAATGGAGCTGAAGGATTGTAATGGGAGTGGAAAAGTGTCCAGGGAAACTGAGGCAGTTACATGTGCACAAAAACAGCCTGGCCTTGCATAGATGCAGCCACGGCCAAAAAGTTGTAAGCTAACTATTCTTACTCTCATACTTATGTTAATAAAGATATTAGAGAAGACAAAACCTGACCTAGCTTTATAGCATCTTCCTCGTTCATCTTAATGTTATCCAGGATGAGTTTCACAAGATTCTTCAAATTACCCAAGCCATCAGTCAGACCACCTGCAAAAGAAAAAAGTTTGAATAGTGTTTATCTGACACTTGCTATTAATTATTTACTATGTTACCTAATAAAACTATCATTTCCATTACCAATCAGAAGATTTTAGTTATCACCAAGGGCAAGAAATGTTCATGTGATTAACACAAAAATGTAATTTTTGGTCAGAAATGGACATGGCGCTTAGCTATAAACATGTTGTCCAAATGTAATGGAATTAGATGAGATATCAGTAATAAAAAGGCAACAGGTAACTCTGTAGACATTTGCAAATTAAACCACACAACTCCAAATAATCATGGGTCAAAGAGGAATGCTCAAGAGAAATTAGAAATATTTGGGAAAATATAGAAATACAGTGCTTAGATGGAGGTTTATAGCTTGAATGTTTGTAATTAGAAAGAAGGAAAGGTCTCAAGTCAGAAACTTAGGCTTACTACTTAAGACACTACTGAAAGGAGAGCAAAATAAACCCAGTGTGAGAAAGAAGGAAATAGTAAAAAGATAGAAATCAATAAAATTACAGAGGATAAACAGCAAAAAATATCCAATAAAGTAAAAATCTGGATGTTTGAAAAGATCAGTAAAATTGACATGTTTTTAGCAAGACTGACAAAGGAAAAAGAGGAGATACAAATTACCAATATCAGAAATGAAAGAGGGGATATCACCTCAGACAGTGCAGGTGTTCAAAGGACAACTAGAGGATAATAGGAACAAGCCTACACACATAAAACTGATCATACATATGAAATGGCCCAAGTCCTTGAAAATCAAAAACTAACAAAACTTGCCTAAGATAGAATTGGAAAGCTGAAGAGTCTTATTAAGAATTTGGCCAGGTCTGGTGGCTCACGCCTGTAAGCCTAGCTTCTTGGGGACAGAGATCAGGAGGGTCACAGTTCAAAGCCAGCCTGGCCAATTAGTTTGTGAGGCCCTCTCTCAAAAAAAAAAAAAAAATCACAAAAAAGGGCTGGTGGAGTGGCTCAAGTGGTAGAGTGCCGGTCTAGCAAGCATAATGCTATGTGTTCAAACCCTGGTACTAAAAGAAAAAAAAAAAAGAATTTGTAGAGGGCTGGAGGCATGGATCAAGTAGTAGAGTACCTACATAGCAAGCATAAGGCCCTGAGTTTCAAACCTCAGTACCTAAAAAAAAGAAAAAGAATTTGTAGGCCAGGTGTGATGATGGCTCACACCTGTAATTTCATCTACTAGGGAAGCAGAACCACACCACCAGCCTAGAAATAAAACAAAATTTTGCTGCTATTTCAAATAGCCTAAGATGGATGTGAGGGCGATCTGGCTGCGACATCTGTCACCCCATTGATCGCCAGGGTTGATTCGGCTGATCTGGCTGGCTAGGCGGGTGTCCCCTTCCTTCCTCACCACTCCATGTGCGTCCCTCCCGAAGCTGCGCGCTCGGTCGAAGAGGACGACCATCCCCGATAGAGGAGGACCGTTCTTCGGTCAAGGGTATACGAGTAGCTGCGCTCCCCTGCTAGAACCTCCAAACAAGCTCTCAAATAGCCTAAGACCTTATCTAAAAAACAAACTAAATAAAAGGACTGGGGACATGGGTCAAGTGGTAGATGCTTGCCTAGCAAGCATGAGACCCTGAGTTCAAACCTCAGTTCTGTTCCCCACCAAAAACAGAGGAATAAGGAAACAACAGATGGGACCATTAGAAAGAAAATAACAAGTTGGTAGATTTAAACACATCTCTGTGTATTAAATTTAAATGACCTAAACATGCCATTAAAAGGCAGAGATTGTCAGATGGGCTAAAAAAGCACAACTTAGGCCAGCATGGTGACACATGCCTCTCATCTCATCTACTCAGGAGGCAGAAACAGGAGGATCATGAGTTTGAAGCCAGACTGGGCAAAGTTAACAAGACCCTATCCCAAAAGCAAAAATAAAAGCAAGGACTTGGTAGTAGCACTCAAGGTCTTGGGCTCAATCCCCAGCACTTAAAAAAAAAAAAAAAAAAAAGCACAATTTAACTTTTTACTGCCTACAAGAAATCTACTTTCTCATAGAAGTTGAAAGCAGAATAGTGGTTACTGGAGACCAGGGAAAATAGAGAGCAGTGGGGAGGGAGAGAAGTTGATCAATGAATACAACATCTTAGTCAATAAGAGGAGTAAGTTGTGGGTGTCAATGGCACAGCAAGGTAAATAGAATTAATCATAAAGTATTATATATTGCAAAATAGTTAGAAGAGAGGAATTTGCACATGTAAACAATAAACCTAAGGTGATAAATATGTTAATTTTCCTAATTTGGTCACTGACAAATGTAAACATGAATCAAGCATGGCATTATTCCTCATAAACCAAGTATTATGTGTCAATCAACTAAAAAACAAACAAAAAAAAGCAGGTAAAAAGAAACAGGAGCCTCTTTTTATCTTGTTTATCCACCATTGTGACATAATCACTTCCCCAAGCCCCCAACCTCCTACTACCATCACATTGGGCATTAGATGTCAATTTGGGGAAGGGACACATGCCCAGGGGCAGCTATTCTTTTATACCAGTCTTGCAAAGTAATCAACTATGTGCTAAATTTGGCCTACATGATTTTTAAATATTTAAAAATTATTAATACATTTAAATATATTAATATATTTTTAAATTAACACAGGAATTGTAAGTATTTATGGGGTCTATTATAAAATTTCAATATATGTATGCCAGTATTTTGCTTTTAGTTTTTAAAATTTAATGTATTTGGGAGGTAACATATTCACATGGTCCAAATTATAAAAGGATTTATGATGAAGTCTCTTTCCTGCCCGTCTTTTATTTTTTTAATTGTTTTTGCTGGGTGGGGGCTGCCCCTGTCTTTTAGCTACAACCACCCCCCTGTGGAGGAATTGCCAGCATTTTGAAATTGGGAAAAATCACATGAAAATATGGATTTGTCATTTTTCTTGAAAATTGTACAATCTGGAGAGTGCATGTTCACAGCCTCAGTAGGTAACAACCAGCCAGGTTTGCATGAATCACTTCTGCAATCTTTGGACAAAACACATAATCCCACTTGGCTCCACACCCTACCTATCCTACTTTGTGTGAGTGTGTGTGTGTGTGTGTGTCTGTCTGTCTGTGTCTGTGTGTGTGGTGCTAGGGATAGAACCCAGGGCCTTGCATATGCTAATCAAGCGCTCTACCATTGAGTTACATTCCCACTGTGTGCTACTTCTAGTGAAAACTTTACCTCCCTGTCCCTTTTTGGTATTTTAATTATGGTTCATGTAGTAAAATTCTGTGGGTCAATTAAATGTATATAATTCCCAGATCAAAAGGGCCAATTTGAGAGTGACATGACATTTATCATTCATGCCATTCAGGGGCCCTTTGAGAAAACAGTTTTAGGTTAAAGAAAGTATAAGACAGGCTGAGAAAACATATTCCTGGGGAACCATAAAATCCCTTTAATTTTCCAAGAATGCTTCAGCAAAGAGAGGACAGCTGGAACTGCCCTTGTTCAGCTTGTTTCTTTTTAAAAATTATGTGTCTGTTTATCAACAATAAGTCACAAATCTTAAAAATTTACAATTTAGGGCTGGGATGTAGCTCAGTGGTAGAGTGCTTGCTTAGCATGCACAAGGCCATGAGTTTGATTCTCCACACAAAAAAAAGAAATTACATTTTCTCTTTAATATCAAGATTTCTTCCAAGAGAGATTTCATCTATTGCACTTGTCATAAATGGAAACTTGGACCAGAGTGTGTAAACTATCTGATGTTCATTAAAGAATTCAAAAGGCACTTGGGTGCCAGTGGCTCACACCAGTAATCCTAGCTACTTGGGAGGTTGAGATTGGGAGGATTATTGCTGAGGCCAGCCTGGGCAAATTGTTCAAGAGACCCCCATCTCCAAAATAACCAGAGCAAAATGGACTGGAGGTGTGGCTCAAGACATAGAGTGCCTGCTTTGCAAGTGAGAAGCTCTGAGTTCAAACCCAAGTCCCACCAAAAATATACATACAATTTTATCAGGACTTCTTTTATTATCTAGAATATGGTCTCTCCATGAACACTTGAAAAAGACATGCGTTTTGTTTTTTGTTTTTGCTGTACTGGGTTTTGAACTCAGGGTCATGGATTTGATTCTCAGCTGTAAGAGAGGCATAGTTAGGAGAATTATGGTACAGGCCTACCCAGGCAAAAACATGAGACCCTACTGAAAAATAACTAAAGCAAACTATTCATTAAGATTATACTAGAAAGATCTCTGTATTGAGTAGAAGGTTGCAAAGATGATCAGCTCTTTTTTTTTTTTTTTCAGCACTGGAGTTTAAACTCAGGGCCTCACGCTTGCAAGGCAGGTGCTCTTACCATTTGAGCCATACCACCAGCCTGCAAAGACAATTTGTATGAAAGATCCTAGGTTCTTAACATCATGGAAAATTCTCTGTAGGTAGCAAGTGAGGTAGTGCTGGATGAGGAATTGCTCATGGCCGAAAAACAACCCCAAACCAACCCCAGATTGGTATAGTTGAGGGAATAAGGTTCCTGCTACCCACAGCTTCACACTGCAGAGCAGGCCTGCTCCAGGCAACAGGCCCAGTCTACACAGGCAGGGTAGACACCTCCAGTGTTATTTGGAATCTGGGAAAGACTACCAAGAAGCATTACCCTCCACATATCTGTGCCTGAAGTTTGAACTTTCTTCATGTTAAACGTCCCCGTATTTTCTTTGTGGTACTGGAATTTGAACTCAGGGCCTCAGCTTGCTAGGCAGGTGCCCTACCATTTGAACCATGTGCCTCCAACCCTTTTGCTGTAGTTTATTTTTCAAGTAGGGTATTGGGTTAACTTTGCCCATGCTGGCCTCAAACCATGATTTTCCTACCTCCACCTGCTAGGTGGTTAAGTTACAGGCATGCACTGTCAATCGCACCCCAAATCTTTATTCTAAAGAAACAGCACTTGAGAGAAGAATGGGCCTCAGTGTCCCAATGATAATTGAGTAAGATAATTAGCCACTCATTCCAGCTTGCAATTAATTTACAGGCTGAATTTCCTCCGGGACTTACAAGAGGGACAGGGTACATTTGGCAGGGAAACAGTGGGTGTCAAATTGACATGGAGATGATGATAAGGGAAGTCAAGCTTTACCTACTTTATATGCATATTTTAAAATAATATGTTTATGTATTTAATAATTATATTTTATACCACATAATAACTATATGCTATATAACAAATATAGTTTATGATACATTGTATGCTATATAATATTTTATTACATATATTTTATATATATGTATATCAATCAGACTATCAGCTTTAGCTCTGGAATCTTTCCTTGGGCCTCCCAATCTATCAATCCTTCCCCTACACAGACCTCCTTCCTCAGCTCTCCCACCTCCCTTCCAAGTCCTGATACCCTGTAGAAACTATGAGAAAAGTTAAAACTATTTGATATCTAATATTTCCACAGTCTCTAGCCAGGCTCGATTACAACTCAAAACTACAGGTATGTACATACCTGGTAGCCGTTGAGTCTGCAGGTCATGAATGCTCAGTGTTGTCAGGTTTGTCACAGATGTGATGTGCCGCTCATCCTCCAGGGTGAGGGGACTGGTTTCCAGCAGGAGGGACTGAATGTGCTTACAGGTGCTGAGGACCGAGCTGAGACTGCCAGCCACACCAGCACTTCTCTTGACAGACAGCCTGAGGCTGGCAGCAGAACTGAATATCTTTCCTAGGTATTTAATATCTTGTTTATTCAACTTGCTGAAATCCCGGAGGGTGACCTCCAGAATCTTGAACTCCTGCTTCCAGTTGAAGAACAAAGACACAGCTCGGCTGGGAATGTAGGTTTTCAAGGTCTCTTCCCTGGGGACTGTGGCCCAATCTTCTGTGGACTTGGCCTGGGAGGCTGGCGTTCCCCCATAGAAGTCCAGTTTAATGAAGTCCAGAGCACTGGCACAATTAGGTAAGTGTTCAAAGAAGTCAAATAAATAATCTGGGATGTTCTCTGAGTTGATGTATAAACTTTTACCTCGAAAGAAAGCTTCAAATTCTTGGCTCAGGGAGGATTTGGATAAACTCTCATGGAACAAATTGATGCCACACTCTACGAAGGAGTTGATGTTGATGGCTTTCAGAGACTCTTGCTCGGTGGTGTTTTTCACACTCTGTATGGATTGCTGCCTCCACAGAGGCCTCTTGCTCATGGAAAGCCCTAGCAGGCTGCCATGTTGGTACACTGCTGCTAGGTGCCTCATGACAGCCCTGGTGGCTTCTGCAGACGACCCACAAGTGTACAGGAGCAGGTTGCTGTACAGGGATGTGATGTCTGAAATGGAAACCATTTTCTGCAAGTAACCATTGCCCTTGGTCACCTCTTCTGGCTCACAGGACATCAATAAGCTGCTGAGCCTTCGTCCTGCGGTGTACTCTTGGAATGCTTTATGAAAGAATTTATACTTAGGCTTGAACCTTTGAGCTGTGTATTTACAGAGGAGTCCAGTTGTCAGCAGGACATCCTCATTCACTCTGCACACATCCTCTGGCTTCGAATCAAACCTGTGGGAGAAGACTCCCTCCAGAGCCAGGTCTCCACAGTGGTCTAGGCTCTGGGTGAAGTCACTTGCAGTCATGCCTCTGTGTTTGTGCTTGTTTTTATGGATCAGCAGGTCATAGAAGGTACGGAACAGCGTGGTTTGTGTGTGAGAGTGGAACTTCCTTTCACCCATCTGAATTGCACAGGTGATGACCACAAAGAGAGGGGTCTTCATCAGATTCCTTAAGCACCTGGATTTCTGAATCTGGAGCAGCAAGCCTTCAGCATGTTCCTTGATCAGCACTTCCCGGATGAGAGCCTGGGCACTGTCCTCTGTCATATCTCCCACCTCAGCAGTCAGGGCACCAAACTGCCTGAGGTGCCTGAGACAATCAGTGGTAGTGGTGACAATGACCATGTTCTTGAAGCGGTGGTTTTCTTTGATCAGGGCTTCGATTTCTGGACAGTTCTGGGGCTTGAACTCATTGTAGCCATCAAGGAGGAAAAGAACCCCTTGCCGTAGCTTCAGCAGCATGGCCATGAAGCTTTGTTTCCTGATCGTGTCAGGTACATCCAGGAGCTGATCGCACAGTGTTTCAAAGAGTCCACCCTGGGCCCGGCTTAAACGGAGAAAGAAAACAAATTTGAACTTGGTCAGAGCCCCACACTTCCTGGAGGCCCAGAGCATGGCGACTCTCTGTAGCAGGGTGGACTTGCCCTTGCCTGACTCCCCTTCAATGATGCAAGGACTCTGGAGATTACCCAGCAGACTGCTCAGGGTCAGCTGCTCTACCCGGTGATGGTGGTGGTCCTTCCTCCACAGGACAGGTTCTGTGAAGGTGCTTTTCAAGTTAAAAATAATGTCAATGTCTTCTCCCAGGGGAAAGAAGTTCAGAAAAGAGGGGCTGTGGTATAAGTCCTTCAATTCTTGAGCCAAACTGTCTAAGTCTCCTTCTGATATCTGATGAAAAAGACCTACGAGAGAAGAGGTGACTTAGAGAGGACAGGACTCAGCATGTCCTCAAAGCCTAGGGTGCAGAAGGATGAGGAGGAGTGTGGACAATCTCCTGGAGGAGCCTTGATGTCTTTCCCCAGTTCTGAGCAGCATGAAGGGCTCACTATCTCCTCCCTGTCTTCTCCTGCAACCCCTTACCCCTCCTCCACTTCTGGCCATCCCTTTTCACCTTTCACTCTTACACGCACTGCCCATTCGGAAGGCGAGGAGCCTGGTGTATTCGGTTCAGCGAGCGTGAATCCACGGTAAGGGGTAACTTTCAGTAGATTAAGCCTTTACCGTGGCTAAGATCTGTCGTGGTATAATTTATTAACTTCAAATATTAAAACTAAATTACCAGTTCATGAAAAGCAGGCTCATTCTCCCTGAGCCATTCACGCCGCTTCTCCCCCCTTGGCTGCCTCTGGATCAATCAGGAGCGAGTAAGTCAGCTAGTCTTAACGGCATGGCGATTCAGTTAATTGTATGGTCCATTACTACTTCTTTTTTTTTGGAAGACAGGGGGTCCTCTAATCTCAACCATCGCTTCTGCGTCTGCCTCCAGAGTGCTAGGATTATAGGTGTGTACCACCATGCCTAGCACTCCAGTTATACTTTGAAGAGAGACAATACTAAGTCATTTATTCTGTAGCCCTGGGGTGTTAATTATTTGGCTTCACCATCGAGTGATCTGCTGAGCGCTTCTCCTTACCTTAGCATGAATAGAGTCCACTGCCAGGTGATGGGATGATGAGGAAAGCTGAGACTCTATCATGGGGGTTTCTTCATGGCTTATTCTATTTGGAGAAACAGATGCAAGCTAACTGCTACTTACTCTGTCCATTTAAGGCCTGGTAGACAGCATAGCTCCGCTTTTCAAGGGATTGGAGGAAGAGGTTGCAGGCCTCAGAGCCCTTCTTGAGGATCATGTGAATGACCCCTCTCGCGGCGTCCTGCTCCACCCTCTCACAGCAAATGATGCTTGCCTCCTCACAGTTCAGGACATTCCATGCAAACAGATCATCCACGATTTGCTTAGTAACGGTCATGCCCATCCTTTGAATGAGGACTCGACTATTTTCCTTGATGAAATTCACTGAGGAGATGGGGGAAATATACACATTTATTTACTTATGTAAAATATGCATCTCAGCATTTGCGACCAGAGCACCGGGGCACTGCATTTTCCCCCCTTTGGGCCCATCTTAAGTTATGGAGATATCAAAGGCTTGACTTTCAGGCCCCCATGAAAGCTCTGCACAACTCTTCGTCCTTGAGCCCAGTGTTCCTGGTGAGCAAGATGGTTTTACTTTGGTGACAAAGTGAGTGATCTTGTCCCCGATAGAAGAGTTCTCAGTGAGATCACGGGTTTAAAACTGCGGACTTTTAAGTAATGAAATGGCCGGGTATCTGCTGATTACTACCATCTGGGCAGCCTTGGCAAGTCACTAAACCTCTTTGAACCTATTTCAGTGATGTGCTACCAAGTGTGTAACAGCTGGCCCTCTGGGGACAGTGGATCTAATTTGTACCATTTACCCATCCCTATAACTGATTCAGTATTTCCTCCATGGCCAATTTTAAGCTAATAACATATGTCAGCCGGCTGATAACAATCCTGGGAATTCAGCCATCAGAATTCACAGAACAGTAAGAACAAGTTCCAGAACACCACGCTGATTCCTCATCCGTGGGATGGGCTTGAGAATGGAATTTAATTTACCAAGTTAGGAGAATTCATGCATGGTATCTCGCACAAAGTAGTAGCTCAAGACATGTTACCTGCAATTTTTAGTTGTTGTTCTATTGTCACAATTCAAAGGAATAGCATGGTTTATCTCTCATACTCTACAGTCTTTTCTGAAAAGTATCACTGTAAAATATTGGACTGTATCCTGTCTGAGCCCTCTCTTCTGTTCTCCTGATCTCTGGCAAATCTGTGACATTTTTGTGTGTGGCTCTGCAAGATTTAACTCTCAGATGCAGACCAAACTATACTCAGGCACTTGCCACGCTGTGTCAACAACAGCTCAGAGAAGCAACTCCCTGGATTTTTACTCTCAGACAGTCTGTGCTAGTTTTCTTTCTGTGCTGGGATGCTCCTGCTTTTCAAACCTTTCTTGACTTATTGGAGAGTGAAGATGATTCTCCCCAAAGCTCCAAGTCCTCTCTGGTCTAAAATGCACCATCAGGGTCATTCTCACCCTCTCTAGAGATGACTGCTCTTAGTCTTTTGAAACTGTATCCCTTTCCTGATAAACTTTGCTATAAAAATAAAATAAAATAAAATGCACTATCAGGCACCCCAGCCCCCAGGATCCCACTCCAGCCTCCCTTTCTCACCATCACAGATATCTACTTCTGGCCTCAGCTGGGCTGTTGCCCATCCTGTATACATGTCTGTAGGGGAGTCCCATCTTTCTCCCTCTGGTGTCTCATCTGTGCACTTGGCTTCTGCATCCTCCTTAGGCCTCCTTCCTAAGTCTGTGTCTAGTCATGATCTTTATTTCACAGTGGAAGACATGTTATCTCAGAAAGGCCTAGAGGTTCATGCATGTTCACAAGACCAGCTTTTCTCTCTTTCTTTCTTTCTTTTTTTGGCAGTACAGGGGCTTTACCTTGGGCCACTCTGCCAGCCCTTATTTGCCCAGGCTGGCTTCGAACCTCGGATCCTCCCTGATCTCTGCCTCCTGAGTATCTAGGATTACAGGTGTGAGCCACCTAATGCCCAGCACAAAAACAGCCTTTCTGAGACTATATACCCTCAACTACAAAATTAAGACACCAGAACTTTCTGAGTATCTGAAGCACTCATAATATTTAAAAAGTCACATAAGTCACATATAAAATTTTTTTAGTTTGAAAAATATACTATATAACATATATGTTATAAGATATTCTAAATGATATGCTATTCTTAGGACTAACCACAGTATAGCTCCACGCTATATAACTGTAAGTTACAGTTATTGTTAACCATGTTATATATAATATAGTTAAATATAAAGCATTATTAACCAATGCTATATAGCAAAAAGGCATTCTTTTTTTTTTTTTTTTGTGGTACTGAGTTCTGAATTCAGGGCCTTCACCTTGAGACACTCCACCAGCCCTTTTTGTGATGGTTTTTTTTTTGAGATAGGGTCTTGCGAACTATTTGCCTGGGCTGACTTTGAACCTTGATCTTCCTGATCTTTGCCTCCTGAATAGCTAGGATTACAGACTTGAGCCCCCAACACCTGGCATTAGAGGTATTGTTATTAATCATGGTATATCTCATGAATGAGGACCGTCCCACTCTTTTCTAATCAAATAAGAAAAAACAGTGTTTCTCATTCATTCAATTATTATTCATTCTTTTCAGAATAACCGTCTAGATGGGCACTTTATAGTAGAGCTCACTGAGATGACCACATTCAGCTGTCCAATGTTGGAGCCATTAACTACAGGGAGCTACTGAGCACTTGAAATGTGACTAAGGTGACTAACACCCAACTGAATTTTACATTCAATTTTAATTTTTTTCAAACTAACAGTTAATAGCCACAGGCAGCTACTGGCTATTACATTATATAGCACAGGTCTACACCCTGTTATTAAAATGGAAAGAGCTAATTTTGGGTGCTACTTATATCCATATAATCTTTTCACAATGATCCTTTTTTTGGTGGTGGTGGTGGTAGTACTGGGGATTGAACCCAGAGCCTCATGCATGCTACATGCTAGTCAAACACTCAACCACTGAGCTACATCCCCAGTCCTTCACAAGAATCTTGATGCATGTAGTTTTCTGCTATCTGGTTGGAGTGATACAGCTAAATAGATCATGGCAGGGAGCCAACAGTTTGAATATAAATCCAGTCAATAAGTCCTACCCTAGCTATGGTCTGCTCTTTTTTTTAATCACAGGCTGCAATATTTGTAAATTAATTCCCAAAACAAAAACTACTTATTGAGACTTCCACAGATAAGTAATCAGAGGAAGGCATGGATTGTTTTGCCATTCAATATCATCAATATTTGGTAGCATACTATATAGCTAGACAGATATTATTTATAATATTCTTACTCGTTCTGAATAAAAGCTTTCCACCTTGCTATATCTCAGGAGAAGAAATTGTTTCCAAATGGACATGTCAAAGATATTCCCAGTATTGTCCTCTTCTTTCTGTAATGCTACTCTTCATCCTATAAAATGAACAAAAAAGAAACAGAAATGATTAGGTAGGAGGACTGGAGCTATTTTCTAGTTAATGCCTGTTGTTTTTTATTTTTTATGTTATTTTATTCTTGGTGGGACTGGGGTTTCATGCTTACAAAGCAGGAGTTCTACTGCTTGAATTGTTTGCAGTTTAAAGTCTCTCTTTTTGTTTTTTTCAGTGCCAAGGTTTGAACTCAGGGCCTACACCTTGAGCCACTCCATCAGCCCTTTCTGTGTGGGTTTTTTTTTCAAGATAAGGTCTCATGAAGCCAAGCTGGCTTCAAACCACAATCCTCCTGATCTCTGCCTCATAAGTAGCTAGGATTACAGGCATGAGCCACCAGCACCTGGCACAATGTCCCTCTTTTTATATAATGGCCCAAACCATGTAAAAACCTGCACAAAAGCCCAGTGCCCATAGCTCACACCTCTAATCTTAGCTATTTGGGAGGCAGAGATCAGGAGGATCATGGTTCAAAGACAACCCAAGCAAATAGTTTATGAGACTTTAGCAAATAGTTTATGAGTTGGGTCAAAAATACCCAACACAAAAAAGGATTGGCAGAGTGGCTCAAAAAAAAACCACCCACCCGCTTAAAGCCACTGACTATCTGTGGCCAAACTCTTAAGAGAAGCCTGATGTCTGGACTCCTGGCCTAGAGTCTAGACTGTGGTTAAGAGGCACTTTGCCCTTTCCCTCATTGTTTTTCCCTTTGGTGCTGATCAGAGCTAAGAGGGCAGCTTGGAATTAGATGGCAGAGATGGTAGGAGTAAAAGTCAAAAAAAAAAATGGTGCAGGGGGAATGTTCCAAGAAAAAGCAGTATGGACTGGAACAGTCATGGGGAAGATAGCATGTGAACTAGGGCTTAAAGATAAGGCCAGAAGGCTCGGCGGGGGAGGGGTGAGGAAAGAGGAAGGGGAGAGGTAAGCAGCCTTCCAGAATGAGAGGAAGGAGATGAGCAAAACCATGCAGACCAGGAGTATGAATGGTTGAAGAGAGAAAAACAGGGGTTATGGTGACAGTACCAGCCATGGAAAGCCCTGTAGGCCATGAAGAAGTGTTTGTATTCTGTATTACGAAAACTGGGAGCAATAATTGTACAAGAACATGTTCAAAGTGACATTTTAAGATAATAAACACATTTCTACTTCGTAGCGTAATGCTGACATTTCATCATTCCAGTCAATGTGGAAAACAGCTTCCTTTCTTTCGCTTTCCCCTTACACATTCTCAAAAGCATTAAGGGCCCAGAAGCTCTGTGCTTGGTCTGCCTGTGGCTGCTTCATTCATGGCCATCCTGAATGGGATCAGCCAGATTGTCCTTCCTCTCCACCTCGCTACGCACACACAGATGCCTACCTCAGGGTGGGCACACAGCCTGACTTAGAGATAGCATTATTGGGCATTACAGGTAAAGGGGAAGAAAATTTAAATCACCAGTTTGAAGCCAAGAATGGGAGGTATGTAATTGGGATTGGGGTATATGAACAGGGTTGGATTGGGAACTCATGTTTTATCCCTTAAAATTTATTATGATAATAATTTCTAGCTGGGCACCAGTGACTCACACCTATAATCCTAGCTACTCAGGAGACAGAGATTCGGACGATCGAGATTCGAAGTCAGCCCAGGCAAATAGTTCAAGAGACCCTATCTCGAAAAAACCCATCACAAAATGGCTTGTGGAGTGCTCAAGGTGTAGGCTCTGAGTTCAAGCACCAGTACTGCAAAAAAAAGAAAAGAAACTTAAATAAGTAACCAGAGTAAACAGGGCTGGAGGTGGCTGAAGTGGTAGAACAACTGCCTAGCAAGCGCAAAGTCCTGAGTTCAAACCCCAGGACTGCCTACTTCTCCCCCCAAAAAGCACATCCCAGGCCCTTTCTCAGTCAACTCTCATCTCCATCACACCATACATTAGTTTAGGTTTTCCTAGAACTTCATGTAAGTGAAATCAAAGATTTCAAAGCATCATAAAATATAGAAAACAAAAACCAGGAGCAATCCAGTGGTTTGACTTTTATTCTATTGCATCTTTTCAAGAGCAAAATATTTTTATCTTTACGAAGTCTAGCTTTATATATTTTTTCTTTTATGATTTATGATTTTTGTGCCCTATCTACAAAATCATCATTATTCTCAGCACAAAGACTTTCACCTAAGTTTTCTTCTAGAGGTTTGATAATTGTAGTTTCTATATTAAGATCATTGATTCATTTTGGAAAAACATTGTTTATGGTGTGAGATAAGAAATTAGGGTTGTTTGATTAATGTATCTTGAAATCAAGTAGTTTAAGTCCTCCATTTGTTCTTTTTCAAAATTGTTTTTATTTCCATACAATTTTTAAATAAGCTTATGATTTCCATTTTTTTGCAGGGTGGACCAGAGTTTGAACTCAGGCCCTGGGACTTGCAGGCAGGTGCTCTACCACTTTAGCTATGCCTCCAGCCCTTCTAGTTTTTTTTAAGACAGTTTTTAAACTTTGGCTTCTGATCTAGAATGTAGAGTTAGAAGTTGACACTCTGGATGGGTGCAGTGGCTCAGGCCTATAATCCTAGCTACTCAGGAGGCAGAGATCAGGAGGATCAGAGTTCAAAGCCAGCCTGGGCAAATAGTGCATGAGACCCTATCTTGGGAAACCCTTCATAATAATAGGGCTGTGGAGTGGCTCAAGGTGTAGGCCCTGAGTTCAGCCCCAGCACCAAAAAAAAAAAAAAAGTTATCCTGGCCTAACAAGTGTAAGCTGACTAACCTGAAAATCAACAACTGTGTGCTTTCCTTGCCTGGCTATCTAGAGTAGTCAAGTTAATAAAAACGTAAAGTAATATGGGGCTTCCAGTGGAAGCGGGGAGCTGTTGTTTAGTGAGTATACATTTTCAGTTTTGGAAGATGAAGAAGTTCTAGACATGGTACAGTGTGAATATATTCAACACTACAGAACAGGGCAATTAAAGGTTATTATGATGGTAAATTTAGGCTACATGCATCTTTCCACAATTAAAACAATTTAATAAGGAACCAATGAAATTTTTCACTGGGTTTCTTTCAGGCCAGCGTTATCATTAATTTCTTCCTATGACTGTGATTGAAAATAATGCCCAGTAAGCACAAGACCCAGTGATCAATTTGCCGTATTACAAAAACAAAAGAAAAGGAAAAGGAAAAAGAATGTCATATAAAGGAGGGCGTGTTCAAAATGATGGTTCAGAGGTCAAATATGCAAAGTGCACTCTGCCAAGGCACAAATAATCGTGCTGTTGGCACCAGACTTTACACACCTGCACAAATAAATAACATTAAAATGTACTTCTGTTTTAGATGACTAGTGCATGGGGCCCAGAATTAGTCTTCCTATATAACAAAGAACTGGGCCAAGTTCCTCTTTGTGAGAAGCCAGAAGGCTTCAGAGCTGAGAAGAGCAGGAAAAGTTGTCAAAAGAAAAAAAAGGAGAGCTAGCATAGTGGCTAGCTATAGTGGTAGAGCACCTGCCCTAGCAAGCATGAAGGCCTGAGTTCAAATCCCATTACAGCCAAAAGAAAAAAAGCAGGGCTATAGGGCAGTTTTCCTAACTGTGGTCCACTCATGATAGAGGGTGATAATAATAATTAAATGGGTCACAATCAGCCTATTAAAAATGTGAAGAAGAACGAAATGTTATCATTCCCTGGTAAATGGATGGAATTGGAGAACATCATTCTGAGTGAGGTTAGCCTGGCCCAGAAGACCAAAAATCATATGTTCTCCCTCATATGTGGACATTAGATCAAGGGCAAACACAACAATGGGATTAGACTATGAGCACATGATAAAAGCGAGAGCACACAAGGGAGGGATGAGGATAGGTAAGACACCTAAAAAATTAACCAGCATTTGTTGCCCTCAATGCAGAGAAAATAAGCAGATACCTTAAAAGCAACTGAGGCCAATAGGAAAAGGGGAACAGGTACTAGAGAAAAGGTTAGTTCAAGAAGAATTACCTAGAAGGTAACACACATGCACAGGAAATCAATGTGAGTCAACACCCTGTATAGCTATCCTTATCTCAACCAGCAAAAACCCTTGTTCCTTCCTATTATTGCTTATACTCTCTCTACAACAAAATTAGAAATAAGGGCAAAATAGTTTCTGCTGGGTATTGGGGGGGAGAGGGAGGGGGCGGAGTGTGTGGTAAGGGAGGGGGTGGGGGCAGGGGGGAGAAATGAACCAAGCCTTGTATGCACATATGAATAATAAAAGAAAAAGGAAAAAAAATGTGAAATAGAAATAAAACCCATAGAGAGTCTGGCTATCTAGAGTAGCCAAGTTAATAAAAACATAAAGTAATATGGGGCTTCCAGTGGAAGCGGGGAGCTGTTGTTTAGTGAGTATACATTTTCAGTTTTGGAAGATGAAAAACCTTCCAAGATGGCGTCTACAGGGAGGAAGCAGAAAGCATGTCTCCTAAAGTGAAATCTTGGAGAGATGCTGGAGACACACCTTACAGGAAAAACCACCAAGAAGAGGCAAAACTTTGACCCCTCCACATCTCCAGCCTGCGCAGAGCATCTCACTTCACACTTCACAATGAACGGAGAAACCAGTAGGGCCCCCGGGCCGCTGCCAGTTGCCCACGCCCAGACAGCTTGGGAAGATGTGGACAAGGTGAGCTAAGTGGTACACAATACTTCCACAGACAACCCTGGGCCAGAGCAGCATAGCCCCCGGACAGACCGAACTCCACCCAGGGAAAAAAGAAAATCTGAGTAATGAGCAATAAGAACAATAAAGACACATAGCAAAGAGGGTGGGGCACACTGAGCACCAAAGAGGGGGGAGGGGAATCCTTCCCGGAACTGTAAATAAACAAGCCGGTCAGGCCGGAGAGGGCAGGAGCAGGGGCACATGTTCAGCAACCAAGAGTGGGAAAGCTTGTGAGAGTGGCAGAGGGAGAAAAACTCCACAGGAGAGGGGGAAAGACCCACCTCCCGTGTGAGCTGTAAACAAACAC